CGTTGCCATGGAGACACTGACTGTTGAGCTGCACCATCTCATACCTTATCCAATACATTCCTGGTTGTTGGTAGTAGTCCAAAGACCCTGATCTCTTGATGGTAAACCCGTGGTCCAGCTGAGCAGAGAGAAATGGGGGCAACTCAGTGGATCGACATTGTGCTAAAGCGTTAAGACTCCAGACCAAGCTGTTCTTCACTGACTGCCTATGGACATGCAGTTACCACGCCTCTTCTGCAGGGCGACTAGCTAACGTGCTAAGCCTGCACACTGAAAAAGAGAAAGGCGAGAGAAGACGCTAATCCCTCATGAATACTCGGAGGCCGGTTGTTAGGGAAAAAATCTAATTTGTCCAGTAAGTTTTTGAATGCACATTTAACAATATCCTCTCAGTTTCAAAAGACATAAACACCTCTTCGTAGTCCACAGAATGGAAAAAAGGTGTGACAATTACATAAAGTACTGAAAGCGGCCTTAGCTACCTACGAGGGAGCGGACTGGACCCCCAAAGTCTCACCCCATTGGGCTTCACTTTTGAGGGCTTCGTAAATGTGAAATAAAGGATGAAAAGAATCGGGTTTGGCTCCCCCATAATCGCAGCTACTTGGCTGTCCTCCTTGAGGGGTTAACCTTCAAAAGCAGATCTACGCTTTAAAAAGTCAATTCTCCTTCTGAACTGAAAAGCTAGAATGGAAAACAGTAATTTTTTTTCTCTGAAAATATAGAAAATAAGAATAGTTTCCATTGCATATTAAAAATGCTTATTACAGTGAAGGGCTTATGACTCCCAAAAGGCGCAGTCACTAGAAGACAGGGTAGTTCCCTGCGTGGTTCCTCCCGGAATGAGACGCTGGCCTAGGGCTACCGCGGAATAAAAGGCTCGGCCCCTCCATTTGAAAAGCAGGCACTATGGCGGACACCCAACACTGCTCACTCGGAGGGCTTGCTGCTCTGATTACAAACCGGGCTCTCCCAGTGTTCACAAAACAGCAGTGTGGGATTTCGGCCTTGTTTAAAATGCACGTTTTATTTTGGTGAGAAGAAAAATGGAAGGACCCTTGATCCTGGGGAGGAGGCTGCCCGGCTCCGTCCGGCTCCGTCCGCGCCGGCGGCCCGGGAGTAGCTGGCTCTCTGCTGCCACCTACAGGCCGCGTGCCCGTTACGCCGCGCCCGGCAGCGCCCCTGCGCCAAGGTCGCTCAGGACGGAGCTTCCCAGAACCACAATTATTTGTACACTGATTAGTATGGATTTGTTCCATTAGACCGAAATGCTCCATTTGCATGAGCAAAATGCAAACGAAGAACTTTGAAGCATTTTGAAAATTATTGGTTAAAATAATAAACAGCATTAAATGAGGAAAAATAAATTGGAACTGACATCTTAGTCATCGGTTCTTCATCAAGCTGGGCAAATCTAATAAAGCCTCCCTCCCCCCCTGAGCTCTCAAGAAGTCCACCGTTAAAACGTCATCTCTAATTTCATTTTATGTCTATAAATTGCATTTTAATAACCTTTTGTTTCCCCTTCTCTGCTCTGGTTTTTTTTTTTTTTTTTTTTTGGTTTTTTTTTTTTTTAATCCTCCAACTACTGGCAAAGGTAGCAGAGAGACAATGGAAGCTTTCTGAGAGGTAGAGTGCGGCACTTGGGAGACAAGCGATGGGTCTCTGCCTCTTCCCGCTGCCTGACCTGCGTGTCAGAGCATCTTTCTGCTGTGAGCCTCCAGCTGGTAATTACTCTCCCCGCCAACTCAAGGACCTCATGCCACCTTAATATAAAGTTATCATTTGTCCTCTCTTTGGTGTTAATAACAGAGGGGGTGGGAGGCAGAGGAGAAAAAATGACCACCAACAAAAGCACCGCGGCTCCGAACCACGCGTGCGTATTCAACTGCGCTCAGGGGATCAGCTGCACTGGGTCTAGCGTCTGTTTACTGTGCGGTCGGTCCGTTTTTCCTTTGTCACTCTACGAAAGAACAAGTGCCATAAACTCCTTTATAAGCATCATTAATTTCCAGCAGGTAGTTAGGTTTCTAATGAAAGAAAGAGAAATTACCATTTAAAGACTAATGATTTAATACTTGATTTCCTGGAAGTAGTTGATCTCCTGATAGATACTACATTTTAGGTGGTAGTTTTTTAGTGTTAAAGGCTGTATATAATTCCCAAATTCAGTTCCACGATAGAGGCAGGTTAAAATAAAATACAGCACTTGACACAGCTCCTGGGGCAAGCATGCGTGCTCGTCGGGCGGGGGGGGGGGGGCGAATTCTGTCTGAATAAGGCTGATGCTGACAGCAGTTTCTTCTGTCTCTATCAAACAGAAGCTGCGGCAGTATTATATTAATTACAGGAATTCCTGCCATGTGGGTGCATTAATAGTTGCCCTGTGTTATGAAATCGTCAGACGGGCTCCGTGGATGCAGCGTCTGTGACGCTTCCTTCTCCTGCCTGCCCCTTAGATCCCGCCATCTAGCCCGAGAGCTTCTTTGCGGCTGCACTTGAGTGTGACTCAGAATGTCACTTAATTCCAAGGCTGCTTTTCCTTGTGGGGGGGGTCCCCTGAGACTCTGTTTTTGCACTCTAAGAATGGGAATGACATTATAGAATATAAATCCACTGCGCCCCTACGATTTTGGAAGGTAGTAACAAAGGCGGCCGTACTGGCCGGTCTCCCATTCCCAGCCCCCTCTGGGCCGGGGTCCCCCCGCCCCCCCGCTCCCGGATCTTGTGGAGGGCGTGGGCCTGGAGGAGGGAAAAGCATTCTGGAGAAGCTGCGTAAACACGAGCCCGATGTCAGGGCACTGTCTCCAGAAACGGCCCTGAAATCCACAGCCACTCTCTTCTGGGCTTGAGGTGTTAATGGTAACAGCCAACACGTGAGTTGTGCTTTAGTGCTGACAAGGCACTTTTTCAGCTACTTCTCCAAAAAGGTAATTATTTTGCGTCTGAGTTCAGCCGATCATTATTTTAAAAAAATTTTGTAGTGGGTGTAGTGGATAAAGAAGATTAAGCCTGCCACTGATGCATAACTCAGCATCGCAAAACCCATTTTACAATTTGTTAAGTCTATTACCCGTTTGTACAGTTTCCATGGAAACAGGTTAGTGATGATCTCAGAAACTGCATTCAAAATGGCCCAATCATCATATGTAGGGAAAATAAGATCAGCGGACCTTTGATCATCCAATACTAACTGGAGTTCCTGAAACCTACTTAGACGAAGTGTTAGTGAGCTGATCTGGCTTAGGTTTCGGAATTCATCCAGGTGCGATTCAAGCCGGCTTCTCCCTCACACCTGCGCCATCTGTCCGTGGGAAACCGCGCTGGTGTCCCTGCCCTCCGTCCCTGCGAGACTCCTGGACCGCCCTGAACAAAGCCATCACCGAGCAACCGAGGCAAACTGAACCAAAGGCTAATTAAAATTTAAAAAAACAAAAACAAAAAACAAAACAAACCCAGGAAAACGAAAACTCAGTGCCAGCAGTGGAGGAAGCAGCCTTGCTGGCCCCGTGAGCCCTGAGCGGGGACAGGAAAACAGCCCTGTTCATGGACACGCGTGCTGGCAGCTCGTTCCAGAGGGGAGCGTGGCGTCAGAAGTTTTGGAACAGACATGCCTCCCGCATGAATGATGAGAACAGAGTGTCTGGGTGGAGCCGAGAACCGCCACAAGACTGCGACGTCCAAAAATTGCTGGTTGGATATGAGCTGATAACAAAGAACGCTGACCATCTGCAGAGACAGGCAGGACAACGACCTCCACAGGGGACCTCCTCAGAAAGGACTCGAGGGAGGGGGCGGCAAGAGCGACGGACACCACAAGGTCCTCAGCAGCCCTGAAGTTCAGGAATGCGTCCCGTTTAGCACGGCCACGTGTGCTATGAGCTGGTGGTTGCGCTCATGCGACTCACAGCCGAAAGGCTTCAATCAAAAAACACGAAATGCAAACCGTACAAGAAAGTGCATGCATGCATGCGCGCTACCTGCAAGATCTGGCAGCCCCTGCCAGATATCTGTAACCCAGGCCTGGGCTTGGTGGCCTCGAGTATGTCACTACCATACGCTTAGCTCTATCGAGAGCTCCAGCACAACCAAAAAAAGAAAAAATAAAAACACTGTCAAAGTTGTTAAATATTTAGTGTTGCTGGGGAGCAGGCGGTACTGCTGAGCAGCACCAGTACTTTTCAACATTCGACAACATAGTGTCTCATTTCTTTGTTTAGAAAGAAAAACAGCTTGAGTGATTTCACATTGACTACGCTGTTAAAAAACAGGAAGTGATTAAAAACAAGTGATCTGGGGCTTGAATATATTTACTCTAGAATTTGACACCAGGAAGTATGAGGTTTCATTATTTCTCTACCCAATTTAATCTTTGCCTGGAGCTGCTCTCAAGTTGCGTGCAGTGTGTGTCTGCATGTACAGAACAGAAAAAAAAAAAAAAATTCCTCGTGCGGCCGCCTCCATAAAACGGTAAATGTTAAAAGATTTTCAACTTTAAAAAAACGAGCTTCCTAAGGAGCAAGACGTCATGATTTCCGTGGGTGCTCGCAGCATCTGGCTTCCCTAAAAGTCTCCCTGGGTGAGCGCCCTGCCCTGGGTGGCTTTCCCCCGGGTCCCACCCCGAAACCCAGTGTCCCCACTGTCTCCGCAGCGCCGTCGGCTCAGCGCCCCCTGCCTCCCACGCCCTGGCAAGAGGACACCGCGAACTCCTCTCCACAGAGCCCAGAAGTTGGCACCAGTGCCCAGTCCAGGGCGCGGGAGGTTTCCTGCTTTTAAAAATACCTCACGGAATGAATGGAAACGGCAAGACACCCTGGAGGCGTCAGGTAATGAGGTGTCCCTGCCGGAGCCCATCAGCGCAGAACGCAAGACGTGTTCCAGCCCTGAGCTGCCTGGGTGCTGTCTCAAGAAGTGACCCCTCTCTGCCATGTCTAGGGGCAGCCCTCCAAGGAAGGCCAAGGGCGTTAGGAGAGTCCGAGGCGGGTATTTCAGATGCTTACTGCTAGGACGGAAACGCCAGCCGCCGTGCTGTTCGGTTTGGGGCCGGTGTTGAAATGCTTCTTGATCTTCCCAGCTACTGACAGCTGATGTTCATTTTCTGGGAGGCCATCATCCTGGGGGGCGGGGGGAGCAGGAAGGAGTGAAAGGAGGAGAAAAAGAAAAAAAAAATGAGAGACATGGAAAAGGAGGCCAAGATCTGCTAGTAACAAATAGGCAGGGATCTTAAAATTCGTAAGGTATCGGAAATAAACCGACCGACGCTTTCCCGTTAAACGCTGCGGTTGGAAGAGCTGCTCCAAGGTCTCGTTCGGTTTCCACATCTGCCCCCAAATTAGTTTGTCCTGTCATCTGATCCTCAGAATTTTGTCCCTAAATAAAATATTTTACCTCTGTTTTCCATTTCTAACGAAATCACTTTCAGCCATGGTCCTCGGGACATACGTCAAAGAGCCAGTTAATCTGGACCACCGCCACCACGACAAAAGTCAATGGAAACATCTTTTTTTTTTCCTGACCCAAAAGTTTTATCCTCTTACCCCATCATTCGGACCTACGGCCGAGGGCCCGCTAGGGCCAGCAATGAACTCAGCCTGGTTCCAGGGCTACGCATCAGCTGTTCGCTAATCCGAGACAAGCGTCCAGGCAGAAGGTGCCTCCCTGAGTCCTGAACCCCGCTGCGGCCTAGCAGACCCCTGCGACCGCGACGCGGCTCCCGCTGGGGCTGGCTTCAACGAAGGCCTCTGCTCTCGGCCACAGCTGCCTCTTGTGGGGGCTGGACAGGCTGTGCTCTTTCGTTACATGCTGTTAGAAGGACAGCAACCGAGTCCTAAACACGGTGCCGTCACGTGCTGGATCTTGGAGAAACGTCTGCGTGGACTTCGGAGCCCCGAGGCTGTGTCTCACCCAAGTGCTTTGGCACCGAGCAGAGGCCTAACAAGCGCGTGGGGAACAAATGAACGGAGGGAGAGTGGAAGGTTCGTTACGAGCTCTGAAAACCCAAGTCTGGAGTGGGACTTGGCTGCCATTCGCCATGTCCCTCCTCCCCTTCCCCGCCGCCATCCTGCCTGTCCGTGCCCGGCTGCGCCCAGGGCGGTCCGTGGGCCGCTCTCCACGCCGGACGCGCCTGCTCTCCTGCACAACGCGGGCTGTCGGCGGGGGGCCTGCGGCTTCTTTCCACATCTGGCGACCCGTCGATTCCGCCAACACTCACTGCGCGCCACAGAGCGCCTGGCCCTACGGGACGCGGTGGGGACGCGAGGGCGGGCCAGAAGCCGCAGGGGCGCGGCTCCCGGGCACACGGGCCATCGCTCTCTCTTCAAAACACGGGTCCGAGCCACTGTCCCCACACACTTTCCCCAGTGAAGCACGGTTTGTTCTCACGGTGCTTCTGTAAACTCTTCTGGATGAGGGTGGCCTGTTGCCACCCAGGTCGTGTTTAACAGCCTGGGCACAAGTACGGGGACAGCACACAGGGCCCCCCCCCGCCCCTCCCCCAGCAGCCCTGGCCCCGCAGATGGAGGGGCCGGGCCTGGGTGCCCCGCCCTGCCTCCTCCTCATGGCCCTGCCCCCGCCGCCTGCCTTCCCTGCGAGGTGCCGGCCAGCTCCAGAGCTGAGCGCTCATTTTCTCCGCGCGCTCCTGGTGGACTTCGCGATCCCTGCCCTGCCCTGCCCTGGTCCTAACCTTCTGCCAGGATTCCTAGCAACCCTCCTAGACCTGGCGCCGGGCGCTCGGGCCCCCGGCTTTACATTCTAGGGAAGGTCTCCGCTTCCCCTGGGTGAGCGGTCCTGGCGAAGCAAGGAAAGTGGTGAGGCGGCCCCCGCCCCCGAGCCGTCAGAGCCGGGCTGGAACACAGAAACCTTAGAACCTCTCGGGATTTGTTCCTAAGAAAATACGGAATCTCAGCCAGAGAAGGTGACTTGCACATACACTCACACACACCCCCACAGCGACTACAAAGTCTGCGGAGTTGCCACATCAATTCTGAAGGCTTCGAGCACAATTGGATTAAAAGGCATAAACAGCTGGCTTTGCAGGGACCTAATCTGTACCTGAGGCACGTGGATCGATGACGGAGATTTAACTAATTTACTGTCTTGCATCAATAAAATAAATAGGGCCATTAAAAACATGCATTTTATATATACATCTCTATCGCCATTATCCTGAATAGATTATGTGCCAAAAATGTGCTATGAATTTTCTCAACGTGACAGACCTGGAAGTATGTTACAAATAGTCCTAGTATGACTACCATACGTTCTGGTGGGTAGTTCCTGGGAGGAGTTTCTTGTTGGACACAGGCTGGTTGTGGTTTGAGGTCGGTGGGTTTTGATTTAGAAATTCCCATCCACCACTTGACAGAGCATTGCAACTGACAAGCACAAAATAAGTTTGCAAAGTGGAAAATGAACTCTCCCAGCTGCCTGCAGGAGACCCAGGCTCCTGGGCTCCATTTCGCAGGCGGGTGCCGCGCAGGTGGCCTGGGGAGGCCGTGGGGGCTCAGCCGCGAAGACACTCAGCCGCCCGAGCTCCCCGCTTCCTTCGGGGGGCCCTGCCCCGCCCCGGCCCGCCGTGGAGCCCTCTTTCTTGGGTCGTGGGTCTGGGCTGCCGTGTGTGCACTGCAGACTCAATGATGAGTATCTGTAAAATGCACGAGAAACGTGGCAACCTCAAGCGCTTTACCACCAGAACATGGAGGGTTGGCTTTAAACAATCCCGTGTGTTTCCATTCGCCCAGCAGCAGCGCCAGGTCTCCTGCCTGCGGGCAGCCCCTCCGCGTGTGCGGACCATCCCCAGCTACACGGCACCCCGGGACCCGCGACGCCCCAGGCACACCCTCTGTGCCTGTAGTTCGCGCTGCCCTTGGGGAGAACACGTGAAGGAAATGAAGGTCTCCCTGGGAGAAAGGAGAGGGAGACATGCCCGAGCAGACGCGGAACTCCGGGTCCTCGCCCCCAATTTACGGATCTGGACAAGTGGCGTTGTGGGATCCTCTTACTTTCTAACAAATTCCGCCAACACCGGAAGCTGAAATGTTTATATATTTTTGTGGGCAGGGCTGAATGTTATTAGCATGGAATGTCTGGGTAGGTTATCCAGGCTCCTGTTCTGTTCTCTTTCCTAGCTTCTTCATTGTTAAAACAGTATTTTAGCTTAGCAGTAGTTCTTCAGAAGAGCAGGCAGTGAGATAGAGGAGGCCAATTAAAACAGAAAGGCCAGGGAGCGGAGGGAGGCTGGGTGGTGGCCCGGACTTACGTCCAGCCACCCAGGCTCCCGTACGACCAGCACGGGGGCTCCCGGCCTTTGCCCGTGTCGCAGTCGCCTGGGAACCGTAGACATTCTCAATGCCCGGACGCCCGTGCAGACCAGTTAAGTCAGAACCTCGAGGGGCAAACCCAGGCATCGGCCTTGGGCTAGAGACCCCCCTGAGCGCCATGTAAAACTGGGAAAATAATTGGAGGCGCCACATAGACTCCCAGAACTCACGACCGAGGCGGACCTTTGCCCTAGAGCATCAGAAAAGAGCACGCACTAAGGCAGGTCAACGCTTGGAAAATCAAACTGCAAAAATTGTGTTCGAAATGTTAACATGGTTGATACGTTAATCCTCATTGTGAATACGAATTCAAGGGACTCGACTTTCTCCCTGGGCGCCAGAATGTTCTAGATATAGGACTGCCTGTTCCATTCTTATGCTGGATGTGCCTCAATCATTTTGTTTCTGTACTAGATGAGTAATACGGCGACTGACCTTAGCCAGGGCAATTCCTGCTGGTATTCTGCAGCTACGTCCATGGAAACGGCCGTGCTGCGGGAGGTCAAAGCCGAGCTGATAATCCGCATCATCAATGTGACCTTGGAGCACACCCACCGGATCGCTGTTTTGGAGGCGGATGGGGCTTCCCCTCCCACATCAAGCCCCTCCGGTGCCGACAGTGATTCCCCTCCGCATCCCGCCAGCGCGCGGCCATGGAGCACAGCGTGGGTGCCTCTCTCGGACGCTCCCGTCTAGCGAGCACCGAGAGCCCCGGCCCTCCGGACGCCCTCTCCACCCTCAGAACCACCTGGGGGCTGGATTCTGTTATCTCCATTTCAGAGGCGGAAACACAAGGTACAAAAGCGCCCACCCCGCGCTCCTTCCGAACCTACGTTCTCCCCCAGACGCCGGGCTGGCTAGAACCGCGCCGGCACCCGCCTCGCTCACGACGTCCCCCGTAACGGAGGCTCAGCCCCGGCGAGCACGGTGGGATGTGCACCCCAAGTGCACAAAAAGGTAAAAACAGGAGCCCCAAGGACGCTCCGGGGTGAGGTCAGAGCAAGCAGCTTCCGCTGCCCAGATCTTCGGATCCTACTGCTCCGCGCCATTTCGTAAGAGACTGCCTCTTCAAGGCCAAGGGCGCCAGGCGAAAAGGTCATGCTGTGAGCAGCGGAGAGAACGGAGAGAACGAGGATAAATGAGAGCCCGGGAAGAGCTTTCTGATGACCTCCTTAGGGCTCATGTAATTATTTCCTTTTTTATTTTTCAATTACAGTTGACATTCCATATTATTTCATCTAATTGGTCTTCCTCTCCGCCTCAGGTAGTGGCCTCGGCGCTCATCAGATACAATCTCATCCCCGAACGCGCAGTGTCCAGTTAAATGGACTCGCGTTGGAAGTCCTGATTTATTTATTTGGGTCGCTTGGCTGTTCACTTGGTGCGCTTGGAGACCTCAACGAATACTTACTGCTGGCTATGAAAGCCCATATATATCTCTATTATTTTGAGACAAAATAGTTTTCTGATTCAGTGACTACATAAATACACCGTATAACTTCAAAAATTAAGCAGTCACTCTCTACATTAAATGTTTAAAGGTTTTCAGCTAAAATCATCTGGGGTTTTTTTTCCTGTCGAATTAGACAAAGGGCATTCTTTAGCTGGAAGTCACCTGCACAGCTCCCTAAATGCTACCCTTGCTTTTAGCAGATGCCTTTAGGGGGTGGGAGCGGGACCCAGAGCCAACGGCAGAGGCCGCAGCGCCAGAGCGAGCTGCGGACCCGACCGCCACACGGTGGGGCCGCGTGCTGGGAACGCAGACGTTCCGGCGGAGGCGTGTCAACGCCACCCCAGGAGCAGGAGCAACTTAGTTCTGCCGTGGTAACAGTCACATTTTTGTTTCTTTACCCCACCGAGTTGGGATAGACTGAGGTGGGGTCCTATGTCTTGGAATCAGGGCATGGAATCGTGTGATTTTAATGGCCTTCCTGCCCCTCACCTACGTGGACAGATTTGCCCGCGGTTACAAAGTTATCTTAGAGCGCATACTCGGGACCTGCCAGAGCCGCCCTGCTGGTCCCCCGCCCCCAGCGCCCCCCAGGATGGAGCTCTGGCTCCTCCATGACGCCTCTACCAAGGCCATGGGGACAGACCCTCCCCGCTGCGCGTGACCGTCTGGTGGCACCCAACACGGCTCCTGGAGGGCGGGCCGGTCAGCAGTGGCTCCCTGACGGCAGCACATTTAAAATACCTCAGACACACCTATGAACCTCTTCCCTCTCTAGCTCTTCATTCTAACCTTGCAAAAGCCACGTTACAAACTCCGGTTGCCGGTTCATTCTCTGGTCCCACGTTCAGTCTTTCCGGGGCAGTGGGGCCCTTTGGGGCCCACGGGCTTTTCAACGGCGTGCGTATCAATCAGAACTGACCGCTCCACCAAGAGGAGCTGCCGTGCCTCTCCTACCCCGCGCAGGTAAGGGACGGGGCCGGGCACGGCCCAGGTAAGCGCTTCGGGAAGGCTGCTCGCCTGCACGAACAGCCGTCACCGGGGCGACGATGGGCCTTGGCCACATTCGCGGCGCCCTCGGGGGCACCAGCGGGAGCGGGGACAGCCTGGCGCAGGGCACTCAGAGGCAACGGGCTCGGAGCGTGGACGTCGCACTGCGAATTTTGGCCCAACTACACACTTCGCTGCTTCCGACAGGCCCCCAGCAGACCCTCCGTCTCCTCATCTGTACAGTGGGTCGAGCACTGCCCGCCCACCCCGCCGGCCCATCGTGCAGGCTATTGCCAGGCCTCCGAGGGAGGCTTCCCGACCTTTCCCAGGTCATCGCAAAGCACGACTGTTGATGAGCACCCTGGGGCCAATGCACAGGTCGGGAGGCCGCCGGTGGCCGCGGGGGACGCGGGCTGCCCGGCCTGCCTCCCCCAGGGGCTGAGGGGAGCCGTAGCTTTGCGCAGCTGTGGGCCCACCAGGAAGCGCTGCTGTGGAAGCGCACTTCACACACACCTTCGCCGCCCACCCAGACAAGCTCACGCTCACACACGTCCTCCCGCCACACACGTCACCCTCCGCGCGGGCGAGCGGGTGGGTTCAGCTGCGCGAAGCGCCGGCGAGGGCTGTCCGGGCACGAGACCCCGCGGCCTTCGGGGTCTGGCTCAACGCTGCGCGCCCACCCTGCCTGACCCTCAAAAGTTAGTCATGCTGGGAGGCACCCGCGGGAAGGGCAAGGCGGCACCTCGGAGAAGCGGGGCGCCCGGCTGGCTCTGACGGGCCCCCGGATCATTCCAAGCAGACGTCCCGGAGCTGACGGTTCGAGCCCGTCCCCACCGGGGCCCCTGTCCCCACGCACGCCCACGCCGCCGCGCCTTCCAGCCTGGCCACGGACTCCGCGCGCCCACGGAGGGTTACGGCGAGGGTGCGCCGTTGTGGGGCGCTTAAAGCAGCGCTGGCCACGCTCGAAGGTGGGCACACTGTAGTGTTAATTACTGTTATCGTTCAAAACAAATCGCACTGTTCAAAACAAATCATGTCCGTCGGTCGGAGGGCCAAAAACTAATGACTCCACTCTGAAAATCCCCTTCGGCTGAAGAGGCATCCTCAGACCTTCGTGCTCGTGTGAGGGCAGCGGCGCCTGGGAGCTCTTAGAAACGCAGCACCTCACACCCGCCCCAGGAGAGCGGCACCTCCAGGAGAGCCCGGGCGAGGGGTGGGCACCGGCCAGCCACCGCGGGTCCCTTGTATTTTAGGCAGGAAGGAGGCAGAAGCAGTACCGACTCCGGGGGGTCTGCTCTGCTTGATCGAGGCCCCAGCACGTGGGTGGGGGGTGGGGGAGCGACCGCGCGCCCCTCCCCGCTAGGAGGAAGCTGCAGCTGAATCGGACGAAGCGCTTTGAGCAGGGCACTGCGACAGCGCCCACCCGCGCGGAGGGTCCCGGCCCTCGGGGCACCCGTCACGGCCCCGTGGCTGAACGTTCCAGCACGTTGACCGGGGAGTAGCTAACACCAGCGCGACAGTCTCATGAGGAGGTGGCATCGGGAGGAAATCCGCAACGGGGCAAAGGGGCGTGGGGGGTACCCGCGGGGACGGGAGGGAGCCACTTACGTTTACCCAGGGATGTTCGAGGACCTGCACGGCGGAGAACCGCGGCTCCACGTCGACCAGCAGCATCATGGTGATGAGCTCCTGTGGGAGGAAGGGCCGTGGGGCTCGCCTTTCAGGTCGGAATCGGGGCGTTTTCAAGCGCAGCCGTTCTATTCGGGACGGCTCTAAACCTTAAGGGTATCAACTCAGCTGACCCGTGGCTACCTACGCCTTTACACGTCAAAGGAGCAGTGGACATTGGGAATTGTATTCCAAAGAGCTTGTAGTTGATGGGGAAAAAATAAGGTGAAATGATCATTGAAGCCAATTTAATAAACATGCTTTTAGTAGAAGAGAAATAGATGCACAAGTTAAAGGATTATGATTACTGTCTTTGTCCAGGATTTTGCACTTTAAAAACAGATTTCTAAATAAATTTAATATAAAAATCACATTTTAAAAACATCTTAAATTTTCATTTTGGAAGCTGAAAGTGAAAATGTGGGTTTTTTTTCCCTCTTAACTACAAGGTGGCAGATTTGTTTGAAAGAAAGTTCTGAGAAAAAACACAGAACTGCCAACAGCTAGTTGGTGTAACAGAAACTATTTTTAGTAGCCAAAGAATTCTAAGGAAATATGTCAGAATCGCTTCAAAAGTTTCCAGGTCAATCACCACACATAAAATAGAACTATGAAGCAGGGAACGACTCAACGGTCCTGGAACCAGGACCGCGCCCTCGTCAGCTCCCGCCGCGGTGGAGCAGGAAAGCCCAGCGGGGCCAACGCTAGCCTCTCACACATCTGCCCGCTTCGTAAGGGACTGCGCGGACAGGTGTGTTCCCGTCGCTCACGTTCCCGGCCCCGGGGGCCGCTCCGGGGCGGAGACGACCGAATTCTGCCGAAGGAAGCATCCGCCTCCATGTTCTCACTGGGCCAGGGCCCACTAAGGCAGCTACCGTGTGTGATGCTCTCTGCCAGGTGCACGGGGACAGGCCTCTCCAGCGGTGACCTCCAGCCCGTGCTCACTGGTGGTGGCACGCCGTGGAAAGGGTTGGACAGGCTCCGGCAGAGCCGCTCGCAGGGGAATCACGTGCACGCCCCTGCGGCAGCGCTGTCCCGGCTCCCTCCCCCTGTGCCCCTCCCCCTGTGCCCCCCCCCCCCGCCCCCTGCCCCTCTGCGGTTTCCTTCGTCCAGACGCAGGTTCTGGCACAGCTGACGACCACACGAGGCCTCGGCCCGCTCTGCGTCCTTTTCCACAGAAAGCGGCCAGGCCCGCGGAGTCTGACGCTAAACTGAGCTCATACTCAGGACCCAGCGAAAGAAAAGCTATGCACCCCCAGTAGTCAGAAGATAATCACTTCTCCCCTTCAGCGTTTCAAATGAAGTCGGTGTTTGGATACATAAGTTGAAGGGATCAACTAAAATATATATATATATTTTAATCTCAGGGTCTACTAACGTCTCAGAGTAAGATTGTAGGTTTTCTTAGAGGTTGATCTTTTAGTTTAATGGAGCAAATCCACATGCCTCGTCCCCCCTTCCTCTAAACCCTGGTTGTTTTTCAAGATCCAAGTTAAACCATAGCTTCCCTATGAGGTCTTGCTGGATAATTTCAACTCATGTTGAGCTTTCTCCACTTTGCCTAATTAACTGTTCCATTCATTCGCTCCTCCATTTATTTATGTATCCACTCAATATGCACTGAGTACCAGTTATGTGCTGGCCAGTATGTAGGCACTAATGATACAGTAACGAACAAAATAGACAAAAATCTTTGTCTTGACAGAATTTGCATTCTAGTGGGAAGAGTGAGAAAATAAGTTATGTAAATAAAACGTGTCCGCCTCTCACTCTCTACAAGGGCAGACAGAGAAAGGTAATGAGGTGGTATACCAGATGGACGTAACGAGGTAAGCGCTACGGAGAAAAATAAAGCAGAGGAAGAAAATGAAATGAGCCCGTCGGGTTTTAGAGCTGTAGGTGGGAACCGGGTGGCCTGGGAAGGCTTCACTGGGAAGATAAAATTAGGTCAAGACCTAGAAGAGCTGAAACACTAAGCTAAGCAGAAGCCTAAGGTGGCTGAAGCCTAGTGTGGGTGGGGCACGGCCAGAGGCTGGAGCAATGGAAAGGGCTGAGAACAGGGAGGGAGGAAGCCAGGGAGGTGGGGGCACTTGAAGAGGTGGGGTGGCTGGGAACAGGTGACTTGATGGCTGTGAATCTTAGAAACAACTGGCAACAAAACCAAAATGTGTATGGAAATCATAGTCACAATATCATTTCGTCTCTGTGCACAGTGAGTCCGAGTCGCTAATTCCATTAAGCCGCACAGGCTCTAAGGAAGAGGAAGGTGCTAGAAACCTACCTTTGCGGAATCAGAGACGTTATCCCAGTAGGGAGAAGGGAAGTCCACCTGCCCCATCAAAATCTGGTCAAACAGCACCTCCTGGTCATCGCCGCTTCTGTTGGGATGAAGGACAACAGTAAGGAAACCGTGGGCCCAGAACGTCAGCTCAGGGTGTGTCACGTCATTCTTGGGCGTCGGACCCCTTCCCTTCCCCATAAACGGGTAAAATGACGTTTTACGCATTCAAAATGTCCGTAGGGAACCGTGCTGGCAAATTAAGATGGAGTGCGTTTTTAGATGATACGAAGGAGATCGATGGAGAGCATGTGAACCAGCAGGCCCAACATGGGAAAAGAGCAGGCGGGGTAAGTGACATCCTTCCTGTTGTCCCTTCCCGCTGCAGGCCCCCTGGCCCGAGAAGGCCACTCAGAGGCCCGGGCAGGGCCCCGCGGGACGCATGCCGGGGCCCGCCCGTACCCGCGGAACGGAGGGAAGCCGCAGAGCAGGATGTAGGTGATCACGCCGGCCGCCCAGATGTCCACCTTGAGGCCGTACCTGCAAAAGCCAGGGACGCTGGCATTAGCAACGTCAGGCCCACGGGGCATGGCCAAGCGGCGCCACCCTGGCCAAGCGGGCAGCACGGAAAGCCCGCCGACAGACACGGACCAAAACCCGCCGGCCACACGGGACTCAGGGAAAGAGTAACGAACAGAGAGGCCAACTGAGGCACAGGAACAAGAGCCACGGCGAGGCGCGGCTAGGCTCGTGGGCAGGCTCAGCGAGCGACGGGCTGCCGCCAAGACGTTTGTTCCAGGCGTGTCAGTTTTAACACGGGGTGGACCCTTGAGACTCGCTCACTCCCTATTTGAGAAATAATAATTACATACAGGACATTTTCCAATTTATAAAGCGCTGACCTATGTTATCTTTCTTTGTTTCCCCAACAACTCTGTTTTCCAAAACAGACCGTCTACTGGGAGAGCAGCAAGGACAAGTGAGGGAGCTTAGGGCTGCGAGGGCTGGTCCATGGTAAGCACGGGGCCAGCCCGCCTTCCCTCCCCGATCCAGAGGTTTTCATTCTCACGCTGCTGCACAGAAACCAGCCAGTTGCCCTCTGATGCCTGAGGGTGTGCGCACCTCGCAGGGAGGCAAGGGCACCAAGTGGGCCCAAAGGGACCAGTGGGGCGCATCAGGCCAGCTGGGTGGAGGGAGCTCAGGAGGCGGTGCTCATTGCACACAGAGCCGCCTGCTTCTCGCGTCCCCAAAGAGACTTAATTGCCACCATTGTATGTTTCTCTGTTAGTCTGAACACTTTTTACTCTGGGCTTAATAACTGCCATTCTACCTCTAACCACGGCCAACGGAAGCCTTCAACGGGATTGCAGGAATGCCGGCAATGCAACTGGGTGGGGAAAACAGAGGACAAGGCTCCCACTATCAAGTAAGACAAGAAAAAGAGTTGAAGAAACCTGGTCACTGATTCTGCGCGGTGGGACCCTCGGTCCCGTCTCTCCCACCCTCGAAGCAGACGGGCGGGTTCCTGGGCAAGCACAGCGCTTCCGTGCCCCCGCGGGAAGCACTCACCCGGTCTCCGCGATGATTTCCGGAGCCACGTAGGTCGGGGTGCCGCAGACGGTGTACAGGGGGCCGTCCACGATGGTGGCCAGGCCGAAGTCCCCCAGCTTCAGGGACTTGCTGCCGTCCTGGTGTTCATATACCTGGAGGGAGGCACAGAGCAAACCGCCTTCACCGAGGGCTCGGGGGTGCTTTCTGGACCGAGGCACAAGGAGCGCTGTGGTCCACGCCTCCTGTGTCTGTCGCAGAAACATCAGGCCCTTGGGCAAGGATGCGCCTGGGCGAACAGCTCTCTTCAGATCACTGCAGAATTAGAACCGCGGGGAAGGACCAGCAAACGGAAATCCGCTACGCAGACTGTGGCGCCTTCGCACAATGGGGCGTCCCGGACCTACACAAACGGGGGTGCCAATTCGCACTTACTGAAATGCATCAAGTTTGGAAGTGAGGGCAGCAGAGCTCCGATATTGGTTTGCATTAAATGTCTATTAAAGAAAAAAAAAAAAAAAAAACGCAGGAAGGAAAATGAGAGACTGTGGTGTGTCTGTCTCTGGGTGGTAGAATTACGGGAGTTCTTTTTTCCTTTGCTTGTCTGTATCGGATGTTTCTACAGTTAAAGCTGATTTGCACAATCCAAGGAAATACAGAAAGTCTCTAGTGCAGTATCCCCAAGATCTGAACATGATTACCACTTTATCTTAATATAAGAAGCTTTAAAAATGCAATTTTTCAGTAATTGAAAGGAAAAATCTACATGAGTATTAAAGCACTTTATTTTTTAAAATAAACCATTGAAAGGGAAATTAACATTTCAGTTCCCCTGCGGCAATTTGGAAAGATTTATCCAGTGCAGAGTCCGCTTCCGGTCCAGGTTTCCGTATGGAGGCAGTAAAAGTCTCCAGTCCTTCACCCGACAAATTAAGAAAAGGATGCACGTGACCATAGGCAAGTGTTTCCACGGCGATAGTGCTAGCCCAGGATCCAACCACATGAATCTGCTCTGAACAGCATCTCAAAACAACTTCCACTGTGTCAAAGAAAAGGTCAAAGGGGACTCGGAATTCCGGGGCAGCGCCCCCCACCGGAACCAGTAAGATGGAGAGGCCAACAGCGCGAGGCTGGCATTCCCAGCAGGGGCGGGAGGAGCCGCCGGGACACGGGGACATGCGCTCCCAGTACCGAGCTGGCCAAAAAGTCCGGTACGTTTTTTCCGTAAGAGGGCTCCAGCAGCTAGCGCTTCGCTGTCTTGAACTTCGTTCGACACCATTTTGTTAGCTTGTATTGCGACAGCTGTCACATCCATGTGCATTTTTTAAAAACTATCAAAGTTGGTGAATTTTTGTGAGGCTGTTTTAATACTGAAGATGGGAGAAGATGTGCAACATTTTCGGCCTGTTGTGCTTTATTATTTCAGAAGAGGAAAAAACGCAACTGAAACGCACTAAAAGATTTGTGCAGCGTATGGAGGAGGTGCTGTGACTGATCGAACGTGTCAAAAGTGGTTCGCGGCATTTCTTGGTACTATTGACATTTGGGCCAAGTAATTCCGTGCTGCGGGGCTGTCTTAGGCACCGGAAGATGTTCAGCCGCGCCCCTGGCCTCTACCCCCTAGACGCCAATAGCGGGAGATTGCCAACATACTCAAAATACTCGAATCAGGAAAGCTATTGGTGAAAATGAAAAATGTGACTTTTATTTTAAGGAAGAAGCATAAGGTACTTTTTGGCCAACCCAATACATCGGAATCGGTCTCCCAGCGGGTTGCGCCCCGTGCACCCCGCCCCGCCCCGCGGCCGGCCGTGTTCAGGCGCACTCGCTACAGCCATGCGAGCCTCCTGCGCGGCCGGCGCCTCTCTGCACGCCAGGAGCGCCCCGCCGCTCCCCGGCCGCATCTGCCTGCCTTCAGCAGAGGAGACGGACTGCTCGCTGCACGGCAGCCCACATGCGCGCGTTTGGCCCGCTGAGCCGCCGCGCCCGCAGTGACCCCTCGGACCCACTGTCCTGGCAGAGTCAGGCGGATCCTCCGCTCCGGAGAGGCTGCGTCTTTTTCTGGGCAGAGAAGCAGCCTTGCGCTTTCTCGACCCTTTACACTCAGAGCTCGGAGCCTCTCCCCGGGGCTCGCCCATGGTCAGTGTGGGCTGCCCTGCACTTGGATTGTTAGCGGAGGGACAACCGCAGGTCCCTCACAGAGGTGGCTTTGTCCTACTGTCGTCTGGGATGGACACCGCCCCCCGGCTGGGACGAAGCAGCTGGCCAGCCCTGGTCGGCACAAACAAATCTGAGGGATGAACTTGAAGGCGTCAGAGCTGCAAAGGACGACGTCCCCAAACTGCAGCGCCCACCGTTCTGTCATCCAACGGACACGCCGATGTCCCCCACGAAGACGGAAACATCGAGGAGGTCAGCAGGTGTATTCCCCAGAAAGAGCCTGATTGTTTACCTTCTTCATTCCATTCTGTTACCGAAAACCTTTCTGAACACATGAAGTACTCTCTTTCTTTGAGGTTCTATTAGGTCCACACATTCATGGCGAGTGTTTTGTGGAATTGTGAAGATTTCGATGTTCACAACTCCATTTACACAGGAATCTCCTGCGCTTTCCTAACCACACTCTCCGAATCACGTGACTTGACTCAAAAGTCGGACAAAAGCAGAGGCTGGCAGGCGCGGCCGTGAGACGTGTATCGGTTCTGAATAGGGCCATGTAATTCTCGTACGCGAAGCAAGGTTTTATTTTTGAATGTCTACGTTTTGATAGAAAGTCTATCTTACCTATAGCCAGCCATATGCCAATTTCATTAATACAGCTGAACGATAAAATCCAAAGTTTCATTAACCACGAAAAAAGCATTAAGAAAACTATCTAAAATAAAGAAAAAGAGGATTAACTAAAAGTAACAATATCCCTTAAATAAACCAATGCCATTTCCAAAAAATACCTCGAACTCTCATTTTGATGGAGTCTGTTCCTCTCTTTGACCACGTCTACCATGCCCCCCTCGGCTGCTTTGGAAACGGTGCGGCAGAACTTTCGTGAACATCGGGGAGGTTGCAGCAATACTTAGAAGAGACAATAGGAGCTGAGAGACAAAGGCCTACACCATGTAATTGAAAACATTTGTAGACACAAGTGCACTCAAAATGCTTCAGCAAAAATGTTTTCGCAGGTGAATAAACGTCCAGGCCTCTAGTTCGGAATTCTGTTTAACTTCACTTAGTGTCAGCGGGGCAGGAGGCTGGGATGCTTGGGGTTTTTCTCTGTCAACACTTTGAGCGGAGGGTACGGAAGAATACATTCCAGCTCCCCTCCCCTCCAAGGGGGGGCCTCTGCTGGCGGGCGCAAGGGGCCCGCTCACACCTGGGCTCCCCCGGCACCGGGCTCGCCCTTCCCTCTCCCCGCCCCGCCGCAGACGGGCGCGGGGGAGGCCGCCCGACAACGTAATTAAAACCCTGAAAATCGCGGATGGCCAACCCATCTGTTTCAAACACATACGCGTTCACACACACACACACACTCACAAAATCATCTCCAGAAAGTCTTTTCCTAAATGGAGGCTATAAATTCACTTTGAACCAAGTTTTTAATTAAAACGTAGGAATCGGAAACGCTTCTAACAAGTTCGCGTTTAAAATGCAGAGCCCTTGGCTTCTCGACCCCCTGCCTCGATTCCGTCCCGGCTCCTCCCCGTGTCTCCGCAGCCCGACCGCGTGCCAGGAAGGACGGTACAGGCTGCAGGCGGCGGCGGGGACGGCCTACGCCGGCGAGCGCCGTCCCGGTGTAAGGAGACGCTTGTGCTGTATTTTAAAGCCTTCATAAAACACGACCCACACGTGAGGTGGGACTGCATTAATTGTCCATCAAAGAGCAGTCACAACGTGAGATGTAATTTACCGTTCATCCCGGGCCCTTTAAATACTATAGATGTTCTCCCACATTTTAAACGCCGAGGGGCCATTAAAGAGATGAGGATTAGTGCAAATTACCCAGTATGTAGTGCTTTCACTGTTTTAACTAAGCAATAAAACTGTGTAATTGTACAACACTAATTGAATGCAGCCACACATAATTGTGGGCTGCCATATGCATCCTATTACCACGAAGACTGTTGGTATTTTGTAAGCCACTCTTGTGATCATTGCAGATGGATACAGCCAGAGAGGCTGTTCTCTAGGGTTTATTATATGGCTATAAAGACATCCCATGATTTGACAGACTAAATGTGTTAAATGGCAACAATTATGAAAAAGGTTCCAATTAGAAGCTGAAGGCATGTTCTACCGCGAACAGGCAGGTGAAAGGTCAGGTGTCGGAGCTCTGGCACGCTTTTACACAAGGTTTTTCTCTTCCTAAAGAAGCGTTTTATTTCTGCTTCTTTTGCATTTATTTAGGGTTTCGCTGTAGCTGTAACTTGATGAACGGTAGATGTTTGGGCATATGCCTGATTTCCCATGGATTAGAAACTGACACCATTCGGAAAAGATCTTTGAAAAAAATAAAAGAGTTGAAATAAATCATAAAATGCAGCCGGTGGCCATAAAATAATAGTAAAGGTCACAGATAACCTGAACCCAGTCAAATGGTTCCTATAATTCCCATAACAGAAGACTGTAAGGTGGCTAATGCAACAGATGTGTTGGAACAAACAAAGTTCTCAATCTTGCTGTGAATTCAAAGATAACCCTGTCACAACGCTGGCTAATGAATCATTAGCGGCCACTAAACTGTTTTTCACAGGGGAGCTCCATAAGTACTAAAAATTATTTCACCAAATAAAATGGAACAAAAGTGGCATGAAATCGACAAAAGCCATGGAAAAAAGTTAATTTACTTTTTCACAAATTTGGTTCTCCTTTAAAAAGACATAGACGGCCACAGTAGACGGCCTTGATCATTCTAAGGGAAACGGGTTAAATGTAAATCTCGGTCTTTAAGGGGTAAAACGAAGGGTTCAGCGGAAGTCAGGCTTTGCTTGAGTGTGGTTGGCAGGGTACGAGAATGTCGCGCACCAGACGGACAGCGATTTGAACATGCCACCAAAAATGGCATGTGGTGCGCTTGAGTGTGATATTGTTATGTTACAGAATTACATGCTTATGATTTTGTCATTTTAAAAAAGGGGGGCGTATTATTTGTGCCGGACCC